GGAGGGGACACAGTATGTGAGAGAATGTGAAAGAGAGGTTGTGTGTTCTTCGCTTCAGAAGAGGAGGGAAAAAAAATCAACACTTCAAATAAACAGGTCAGAACGCTCTCCTTACAGTAAATCACCTGAGTCTTTTCTTTTTTTTTTTTTTTTAAATAGAAACATGTCAGTGACAATGGCCTTGAAGGAAAATGAAACTCCCTGGCTTGGGGGTCAGGAGCAACCGCAGACACTTTTCAACATAAGAAATAAACATTTTCAATTCCTCGAAAATAAGTTGCTTCCATGCCGCATAGGAGGGACATACCAGATTCTCCCGTGCTGGATAAACTCACTGAATTTAATATTGGACTTCAGGTCTGAACCGATGCCCGGCCTCCCCAGTTCGGGCAATTTAGTTTTTGTTCAGCACCTTGTTGAGTCTCCCAATGAGTTGACTCTGTCTGGACTGTCAATGACACAGCTTAATGCAGAGCCAGAAGGACATGACAAACAGTGTATTAGGCAGCTAATCCATGCATGAAGACAGGGCAGACAGACAGATGTTCCAACAGTTAACAAGACACCTGTCTCCCTCAGACAGCTGCCATTGGCTTTGAAAAAGGAACTACATTAGCACCCCACGCCTGGAAAGTGACACATGTTCCTTTGGTTTTTATTCTATAACTATACTGACCAGCCTTAAATCTGACTAAAAAGAAAAAGAATTGGGAGGCCGTACTGAGAAGATCAACCATTAAAAAGGCGAGAGAGAACTCACGTGGTTAATGTGCACATCCGGCAGGTAAGAACTTAAATTGGGCACTATGATGCCAGATGCTTTCAGAGCCCATAAGCTGTGTCATCGACAGTCCAGACACAGAGTTCAACTCTTTGGGAGACTCAACAAGGAGGTGAACAAAAAATAAATTGCCCGAACTGGGGAGGCTGGACATTGGTTCGGATTTGAAGCCCAATATTAAGTTCAGTAAGTTTATCCAGCACGGGAGAATCTAGTATGTCCCTACTCTGTGGCATGGAAGCAACTTATTTTTGAAGAATTGAAAATGTTCTATTGAAAATGCCTTCTTTTCTTCATCCCCAGGAAGTGAGGAGGGGGAAAAAGAATTCTTTCTTTTTACAGATGCAGGACCGGTCACTCGGAAGATGCTTCTCTCAGGTCCGGAGTTTAAGCATACATAAGCTGGGCATACATAGTATTCCTGGTTCTGGACTGCCTGGGTGGTATATGGGCAAGAACGATGTTCCCAGCTCAGTGAAAGCTCACGGAAGGACCAGCTCATCTCCAAGTCCTGGGAAGCGTTTCATCTAGGAAAATGCTGTACACACACCTGTTGTCTGATGCCTTCCTGCAGAATAGGGCTGTTCTTCCCCAGACACTCTCCTCTGCCTTAGGCAAGGTAGAGAGGACAACCCTTGTTCACAGGGGAGGAAAGTAAAGCTCAGAGAAGTAAAGTGACTTGTTCAATAGCACGATTAGTACTAGTCAGTTAGCTCCTGAACTCTTATGAAGATGTGACTAGCTCTGGGCTTGAAGTTCAAGCATCTAACTGTAAATGGGTTTCTGAAGTTTTATCCATGTGGTTTTGTGGTCTCCCATCGGAATCTGGGCTCTTAAGGAGAGACCATAATCTGTGGAGAAGTTGGGCTGTGGTCATCTGTTGAAAGAAGCCACTCCTTGGTTGAGACAGGAGCCAAAAGCCTCCTCCTGCCTGCCTTCGGCAAGACAGTCAAAGACTTGGAGGCTATGCATAGGGAGGAACGCGGACCACGTTCAGATCCAGCGCCTTCTGCTTTTCTCATTTTCCTGGAGGAAGGTCAGGTTTTGAATCAATTGCTCTGGCTTGAGAGGCTTACAGAGACCAAAGAAACACGAACTAAAACAAAACCCCCCAAACCAAGAGAAAGCAAAATCCCACAACTGCACATTTGGAGACGGAAACTTGGGCCATCACTACGGAAGTCAACTTGGAGACTCGGTGCCCGGGCGCACGGCTGCTGCCCCACCCGGGGTGGCAGTCCCAGTCAGAGTCAACCACGCAGCAGAGAAGTCGATTCCTGGACATAGTCCAAGGGTCTCTCAATCCGCCTTCAGCAGAGATGAACTGCTGTGTTGTCACATCTTTCCACAGCATGACTCTAGTGGCTGCTTTACATTCCTTTCTCATCTCGGGAACCACTGTGGGGATGACTGGGGAGGGAGGGAGCCAGGGCTCCCTCCTGTTTGGTGAGGAGGAGGGCGGGGAGCCAAAGCGGGTGTTGACTTTTCGTTAATCAGCACTATCGCCCAGGAAGATGGTTTAAAAAATAAAAACCACCACCAACAACAACAAAATACCCAACCAGAAGCCACATCTATTTCCCAAGGACCTGTCTGTAAACAAAGGAAGAGGAACCGTGCATTGGCTTCGAGATCACTTTCTCTACTGGTTTCAGCATTTCACTCTGGGTGTTGCTGCTTTTGAATCCCAAATTGATGATGGGAAAGGAGGCGAGAAGTCTGAAAACCAAACTGGTCTTGTGACAGTTCCAGTCAGTACTTTCAGAAATATGGTGCTGTTTTGGGTAATTAATAGCCCATCTTCTCTGAGGGGGCAGAAATTGTGCTTTTTCTATGTTCCAGCACATTCTGGCTGCTAATAAACATAACAGTGATTACACTCACTGGTTTGATCAATGGTATGTATACATGCATCTCCTTGAGTATGATTCACTTTTTGAAATCAGGCCAAATACCTTCCTAATAGGAGCAAACTCCCTGACATGGTGGTTTGGACATGGATCCCCTTGGGGCTGAGGCAGTGAGATGCAGATTAGTGAACATTCTGGAGAAACCTGGTCTACTGCTGGATTCAGATACAGACCCTGCTGGATTCAGATACAGACCCTGTTGGCTTCGGATACAGACCCTGTTGGATTCGGATACAAACCCTGTTGGACCTAATAGGAGCAAACTCCCTGACATGGTGGTTTGGACATGGATCCCCTTGGGGCTGAGGCAGTGAGATGCAGATTAGTGAACATTCTGGAGAAACCTGGTCTACTGCTGGATTCAGATACAGACCCTGCTGGATTCAGATACAGACCCTGTTGGCTTCGGATACAGACCCTGTTGGCTTCGGATACAGACCCTGTTGGATTCGGATACAGACCTTGCGAGTACTCTTCCACATGTTTTTCATGTAGGCGTAGGTCACCTGGGGGTGAACTGTGGGCAGAGGATGGTCAAGTTGCCGGGATGGATCGACTCCCAGGAGTAACACTAAGGTTTTATGAGCGAGAGCCTTAAAAACAAGAGAGGTTAGGGTATAAACAGAACCGGACCAGGAGCGCCAGTCCCTCCTCGGCCTGTCGCCCGCCCCGCAGTGTGCTGGGGGCTACTCACCAGCCTGCCACTCTTGCCACACAGGCTTGCATACTTGAGCCAGGTCCTCATGTCCTCATGAGGGCTGACCACAAGGGACCGTACCATAAGGATCTTCTGCCAGTCCTCCACGATACGCTGGCAGCCCTGGAATGTTTAGAAGTGAAGATTAGATGCGTCCTCTGCTACATCTTAAACCCCCACAAGCAACAGTGGAACCCACCCTGAAACAAAAGAGATTCGTTTTGATAATTTCAACCTTCTCAAGTGGAGTGTACTGTGAATGAATCACCTCTTAGGGACTTAAAATTCGAGAAACAGTAGAACATTCTGGAACTTGAATCCTGGCTCTACTTAGTATCTGAGTGACCTTGGACAAGTTACTTAACTTCTCTGTGACTGATCTGTAAAATGGGATAAAAATAGTACCAACTTCATAGAGTTAAATGAATTAAATTATTTAAATTTCTTTTCTGGATTACAAATAATGCAATTTTAAGTATTTTTTTTTTTTTTGCTTCAGTCTCTCTTATTGAAGATGACTATCACTGAAAAAGAAATTAAATGTGAAATGTATTATTCAAAATTCAAAAACTATGTGTAAAAAAGTTTCAAATGATGTTTGTAAGCTGGTGGCATTTATTAAAGTTATTAAAGCCTATGCCCGCACTAAGACTTTTGGCCTTGATTAGATTCTTTCTTCTTCATTTTTATTTGTCTCAGATCAAAAACTACATACAGAATGGGAAGTGTCTATTCACTTACACATATAAACACATATAATTTCTTTTTAATTAAAAAAACAGTGATTAATCATCATTAAAGGAGCTAATTTTATATTAAAAGACTGCTGAGAGTAAAGTGGACTTTTTTTTCATCTTAGCTAATAAGAAGTCAGACTCAGAGACAAACTACCAGGAGATGGGTTTCTGAGATCTGTTACTTTATCGGTGAATTCTGTGAAACCAAACGAGCTGTCCTCCTTGGAGATAAGTCTAAAAGTCTAGCAGCAATGATCGTAGGCTTTTCAATGTGACAGGACATAGTCTGAGCTTGAATAAAGAATCCAAGGCAAGAAGAGACCCAATGCCAGCAAGGCCGACCTCTCAAACTGCCCTCTGGGAGATGCTGGTTAGAGATTTCAATTTAGATGAGTCTTCCAGCCTAGGCAGTTCGTTGAGTGTTTTGATAGCAAGCCATCCACGAGAGCCAAATTTCTACCAAACTTAATGCTTTATTTTCAGGCCTTGGACCATATCTTTCCATCCTATTAAGTGTGACAACAGTGATTTGGAAAGTTAGAAAAACAGAAAATAGTACATTGAGTGATTGTTTTGGTGACTTCCCACCATCTGCTAGTTTCTTCCAGATGCTGGAATAATTTGACCCTGTCGGCCAAAAAGCAGCTTGCTGTCTCGAGACAGGAAAGTCATGAAACCTTACGATGATGACGGTATCTTGGACACAGTAGTCAGATGTGGGTCTCCTCTCCCCAAGACTCAGTTAATCCACCCCGCTTCCAAGTCACTATTTGGATAATGTCCCACTTGTTAGAATGGGAGATTGATCAGATCTCTGGTTTGGAAACTCTTCACCCCATTACAGGCACTTAAAAACCGGGTGTGTGCAAGTGGGAAATGCTTGCTTCGTGGAACTCTTTTCTGGTGTCCAACAGACAATTTTCCATCAAAACATTCACCGGGCATTTCAGAATTGCTAATAAAACATGTGAAGGAACTGCATGTGCTCGCTGCCCAGAAAAGACTACTATATTCATAGCCATCCTCTGCCCGCTGCTCTTTCCTTTCCAGTGGAATGTGCCCTGAGCTGCGGAGACAGGAATGCAGCCTGGACTCGAAAGCCTTTGTCACAGCCTACTGAAAAGCTGGGAGCACAAACCTTGATTGGTCTCAAGACAGAACGTGGAATTAGGTATAGACTGGGTCAAGAAAGTTTAAAATTGAGGAGGTTGATTACGACAAGCAGGGGGACAAGTGGTGTCTGGAGTGCTGAAGGCTTTCTTTTGTTGATGAACTTGCCCTCCTACCAACATTTTCGGTCCTTCCTGAGAACACTTAAGACCACCGACTCCCAGACCTGGAACTGACAGCGCCTCGCGCTGAAATGATCGGAATGTACAAAGAAAACACCGACGAAGGACTCGGAAGTTTCTCTACGAGGGAAAACGGCAGTGGAAAAAAGTCGGAATAGGGATCATGGGATGACCCGAGGGACTATAAACGGCCAGCGTTGGTCAATGAGCATATATTGGGGAACCCTGATCACAGAGCCAGCAAGTGAGTTTAAAGCCGTGGTCTTCTGCATTGGCCACGTACTGGCATCAGGGGAGGCTAAAAGATACTGATCCTGGGTCTACCCCAGGAAATCTTATTTATTGGGGCAGGGAAGTGGCCTGGGCACCCAGATTCCTAAAAGCTCTCTAAGTCATTCTATTGTGCAGCCAAAGCTGAGAGCCACTGATTTTAAGGTTAAGACTGTCAACTGGCTGGCCATGAGTGTCACTTATCAAAGACACTTTCTTTTATTCCTAGAGAAGGGTAAAAGGAGGCTGGAAAATTGATCGTCCTCTCATAGCTAAAAGCTCAGGGGAAAAACCTTTGAGTGCTCTGCTTTGAATGCCAAGCAGCCTCTGAGAAGTCGAGAAGCCTGTGCTGAGGAAAACCAGGAGAGGAGGGGGCGGGCTCTCGGGGCTCCCCACTGGCTCACCTGCAGTCTCTCCCACCAGATCTGGCGGATGATCTCTCGTCGCTCGGGGACGAGTTTGTACTGGATAACCTCCTCCAGCTCGGAGAGCATGTGGCAAGAAACCATGGCCTGGTGGAAGCAAATCACATTCCAACTTAATACTGGACGAACAGTCCGACAGCCAGGATTCATTTCAATCATTTCTGCTGAGAGCAGAGGATCTGCGGAGAACACACAGGCAAGCGCTCAGCAGCCTGAGTCCCCAGTAGCCCACTCTAATAAAAGAACTGAAAGGGGCCTCTGACACAACAGCGTGCAGAATATTCGACACTCACCCCATATGCCCGACTGTAGCTCTCTCCTGCCATAGCAGTCAACTCGGCGTCCAGCAGGTCTCTGGCTTTGTCAATGCACTAAGAGAGAAACAGGGAACCCCTGGACTTGAGCTGTGGACTTGGGGGCTGGGGGTAGTGTTGTTATTTTCGGGCTTCCCAATGAGCTACAGAAGTTATCTGTCTCACTGAAATTCCAGTGATGAAGAGAAAAATTCACCAAAGAAGGGAAGAAACTCCTTCGCAGTTCTGAATGGCTAAAGAGTACTATCTGATTTCTCAGAAAGGACAGACATGTATGGCAGCCAAAACCTTAATATCTATGATAACACCCAAAATCGTGGGGAATAAGGGAGGATAAATGTATGCTTAGAATCGCTGTGTCCTGGCATCGCAAGAGGACAATTTGGGAGGCAACCTGCTTTCAACTTTTCCTTGCTGGGCATGTTTGTGAAAATGGAGTGCAGACAGTCAAATGGCTCCAGGTGGTCACCTCTGGCTGAGAAGTATGCTGTCCTCATGAGGGAGTGCCTCTGAAACTGGCAGAGGGATGCTCAGTCCTCTCCATGTGAATGGGAGTTCTGGGCCGGTGACATGGATGGCCCAGGTCTCAGTTCTCGTCATGTAAATCAGAGTCCTGGGGATGGCCACAGGACTGCAGTTTGAGTCTTCTCTGTTTCATCAATTAAAAGCCCTTCATGTGGAGCTTTTCCTCGTTTGAAAGTTTAAGGTTAATTACAATGTCTCCATCCCGCAGGTGCTCGGGCCATTTACCCAAGTACCTCATCCAAGACAGCCCGGTGCCTGACAGGGTGGATGTGATTACTTCGATATTTCATTCTCCAAGTCAGCACGGGGTTTTCACGTAACTTGGAAGCTCATCGGTGTGACACACCTGCACAGCCAGAAGAAACCTGTGACTGGCTTCTGCTGCAGAGGGGGATGGCTGCTCTCCGAGTCCTCCCTCAGTGACGTGGGCGGTTCCTCTGTACCACGAGGAATGCTAAGGCAAAAGTGACGCCCCGGGAAGCCAACTCCAAAAGCAATCTAAGTGGTCATGTCCAGAACACACGTGTCCTTCTCAGAGCGGAAAGTGGCCCCGGCTAAGGTGCTGGCAGTTTTCTTAGTATTACTCTCCAAAGCCATTCTAATGAGCTCACAGAGCCAAATGCCAGAGGTGAAGTACAACAGCCTACCTGCGCTGGCACCACGTGCCTAGGAGCTGGCAGGCAATGCAGAATTACTTTTCTTTGCTAGCTGGTCTGGGTGCATGTGGGTTTTTACCTGTTGTGCCAGGGAGAAGAGGTCCTGATGTAGTGCCAGCACAGCTCTATAAAATGCCCCATCGTGGGTGTCCCGAGGGATCATACAGGTGTACTCTTCCATGCTGTCCCATTGACCTACACAGACACACACAGACACACAGACACACAGACAGAGCAGGGAGCGGGAGGGCGGCGGGGGGAGAGAGAGAGAGAGATTGAGAGAGAGAGAGAGAGACATTAGGGTGGTCAACTTGCTGGGCTAAAGGCAGCATCTCAAATAGGCTTTGTCATTGTTATTTGCCTTTAGCTTGGGGTTCAAGCAAGACAAACCCGAGCTTGAAGGATCGAAATCCTCAACCTCTGCGGAGTCGAGCAAGCCAATTTAACAAAACAAAGCCACACCGATCTGTCTTCCAAACACAGGACTTCATCGCTGCTCCAGGGAGCTCCATAAAAGATGGGGGAAACCACACGAGC